ACATCTGCCGTGAAGATAAGGATAGTGCTGACAGATCAACTTCCAATTCATTACGCGTCACGGCGATTCCCCCCCTCCCCCCGCCGCAGAGCAGCGTGAAATTGATAAACAGATTTCGAATTTCGAAACATACTTTCGCTTTGTAAATCCTTTACATATTAGTAAATATATATCGGAAATTCTATTTGACATAATCGAAAGTTCAAGCTTACTTTTATAAAATTGCTCTAACAATCTGCAAAAAATAATAAGCCGGATCCAATTCGAAGATTAAGGAACAACGCAATCTGCAACATTAATTGAATTAGATAATTTTAGCTTACCTTTTACCGTCCGTTATACATTAAACGCGCATGCACACACATATATTTGCAGCCGTAAAGGTCTTACGCACACGCGTAAACGCCTATGCGCGTGCTTCAAAGCGACGCATGCGCAGAAAGTTTGTAGCTTTGAGGTCCGGATTATGGGTGTCCGAATTAACGACTTTTGACTGTACTTTTTTTACCGTTACAGTGGTTATTTCATCCACTGTGACCACAATACCATATACGGCTGTCCTCAGAATCGTCTCTTATAACGATTTTCATCTGTGATCCACATCTCTTGCACTTCACTGAAGAAGCAATTAGCGAGGTTTCTTCCAAAAATTTAAAATACATTTCCTCTGATCCTTGTAACAATTTATAATCAAATCTTTGATTAGGAAAGCCAGGTTGGCCAAAATAAGGTCTCAAAGAACAATTTTTTGATTCCTATCCCAATAATTCTTGGTAATTATCAATAACAACATTCATCTTCGAAACGGTCATATCCATTTGCTTTGAAATCTAAGGAATTCTTATGAATAATAAATTTTAAAATGATGTGGTAATGCACAAATATTCAGTAGCCAATCAGGAAGCTGATACATCATGCATAGAACTAAAACTATTTAAATAATCATTCATAATAAAATCATTTTTCAAAAAAAAAATGCAAAATTAAATTGCATTTTAACATTTAACAGCTAAAAATAATGTTTAAAACATTAGATTAAATTTATAGATATTAAAATCAATTGCTTTTAAAGTAAGGTGACATCACTGATTACATCATCCACAACATAAAATTATATAAAATATCATAAACAATAAAATTTTTATTTCAAATAAAAATGCAAAATTAAATTGATATTTAATATTTAGAAGCCATAAATAATATTTAAAACACGTAATTTATACATAATATAATGCCTTATTTTTTAAATAAAATGACAACAGAGTATCGGTTACCAAAAATAACTTGTCCAGCAATGGGTTTATCATAGGTCGTATCGCTCGCCAAAATCCGTGCAACCGTCTACCAAAGTAGCACCATTTTGTGATATACATTTGCCAGAAAAAATATCCACTGAGCATTTTTCTAAATTCGAGAAAGGAATTATCCTAAAAATTAGAAAAGAAGGCAAAACATAGTATGAAATTGGGCAGGTCTGTTAGGAAGGGCTCGTTCTTCTGCCCACTACATTGTACAGTCATTCAAGTCCACTGGTTCAACTTTATCAAAGTCAAGCTCTGGGTGCCCTAGCAAACTGACTGTTTGAGAAAAATGAACTATTTTGCAGTCTGTGAAAAAGAATCTTAGAGTAGTTGTTTCTCAGCATCAAAAACTCGGTACTACTCTTATATACACCTTCATGTCACCAAATGTGGCGATATGTGTTGTGAGCTGGTTTTTGGCACGATTGCATGTTCTGCGATGATTTTGGGGAAGATGTTTGTTTTCATGGCAACCTTTTTTTTACGTGAAAACTTGGATTTTACTGTAGCGGTTTTAGTTGCTGGTTGGATCATGTGGTAGGTGGTTTGAAATGGTTTATGATGCAATGAAAGACGTGTTGGCAAAATTTTAGTCACGTGCCTGGTACAACTATTTTTTGAGGTGGCTAGAAATTTTACAAGGATTTAGGAGAAGGTTTTGAACATTTATTTATGACAGATAGTAATTTTGTGGATAGTGAGTCTGGCTGTCATATAAATACAATAGAGATTACGTGGCAGCATGTTAAAGCTACGTTGCCTACTTATAATCGGAAATGCGATTTTAAGTTTTATTTGCTGGTTTATATGTTTTTCCATTGCTGTTCTGAAATGGGAGAAGATCCTTTCAACAAATTTGTAGTGAAGTTATTTTGGTGATGTTTAAATTGATATTTCTGCTGTTCGAAGAAGCATTCATTCATGGTAAAGTGCATTTTATTTTATTGTTGTTCTTATTCTATAGAATGTTATGTTCATTGTTTTTTTAGTATGAATTTTTGTTGTTATTGTTGTTTTCTGAATTGTTTGTAATTTTATTTTAGTTTATTTTGTTGATTAGTGCACTATGCCTACATTGTGCAATTCATAGATTTTTTTTTTTTAAGTTTAAACAGAACGTACATGGTATTGTTTGAAATTTATTGTTGTTATGTTAATTTATTTAAGCAAGGCGTGCGTAGTTCGTAGATTCCTTCGCTGCATAGATTGTGCAATTCTGTGATTTTTTTAAGTTCAAACATCGCTGTGTACATGCATTCTTGTCAAATATTTCTGGTTAGAAACTTTACGTTTTTGCTATCTAAATTTTTCATTTCAGATTTTTAGCTTAAATTGTGTGTTCAAAACATGGTTTTTGCACCTGCGAAAACCACATTGTGGTAGACATTTTAGGCTTAAATTTCTCGACAAAAATATTTGGCAAGAAATTTTTTGCCAAGCAAAGGCCTATATGAGAGTAGTTCCGAAAACTCTTTTGGTAAGGATGTCCATGAAGATACTATCTGAAAATTATAAAGAAGAATGGATGCCATGCCTGTGTAGCACGTAAAAAGCCTATATATTGGAAGTCAACAGGAAAAACAAATGGATTTTGCTAATGAATATATAAATAAGGATCGAGTATTTTGGAAAAGTGTCTTTTCAGATGAAAACAATTTTTGCATAATTGGAATCAAGGGAAGGAAGTTAGTATAGTGAAGGAACAGTACTGCATTTGATAAAGAAAATGTTGTACCAACAGTCAAACACAGTATCAAGGTCTGGGGATGTATGGCGGCGAACAGAGTTATAGTTTTTATACAGTCCATGATGGATCAGAATGATTATTTAAACATTTTAAAATCTAATTTGAAGTAAAACACCCAACAGCTGGAGTTTGGTGAAGATTTCTCGTTTCAAAAACATAATGAATCTGAAACATGCGACACAAAATGTAATGCTGTGGTTGCTCTATAATGCAAGATGCCAATTATGTATGCAAAATAACCAAGAAGGGTACAATGAAGCTAGTTCAATCCATCCCAAATCGAATTACAGAGGTTCTGAAAAGGCAAGGTTATCCTACAAGTTACTAAAACCAAAGATGAATATTTTAAACTAATATGCAGATATTTTTGGTTTTGTTTCAGTGAAGTTTTTTGTTTATTTGATATACAAAAATTTTATAAACTCTGGTATCTACAAAAAATTGGTACTTTTCCGTTTCGCCGGCACAAATCTCGCCAAGCAGACTTTATTGGCGACAACATACAGTATATACATAAAAAATATTTAAAAAATTTTAGTTCTAAGAATTCTTTTTTTGAAGGCATAAACATTTTAATATTGCTTAAAACTTTATAAAAAGCCAATAAATAAAGAAAATAAATTTGTAAAAAGACATTAATTTAAGAATTTACTATGCTTTCATGGTTCAACATCCTAATTCGCCGGTTCATATCACGTGACCCAAGCGATCTCATCTCACGTAAACTACTCTACAAAAATCTAATGCTCTCAGTAATTATCTATATTAATTTCAAGTTAAATCTTAATTTTAAACACAAGTTTAAATGCAAGAAATATTTCAATGCGTACGAATAGCTTACTCAGAAATTATGTAAAACTGCAGTGCTTTACTTCACTAATGCATTCTCATTAGAATTGATGAATTTAACCCTTGACTTTCCTTTTCTATATTTTCCGCTTCGGGTAAGCGCTGTGATTGCATCCTAATTGACTTAATTACCGAAAATGGCCTTAGACATAAAACTGAACTATCTGATAAAAATTCTATGTAATTATATGCCAGTATTGAAAGAAACAATCAATCTGATAAGAAAAAGCTGCAACTTGTTTTGAAAATGAGGCGTAAAAGGTTACCAGCGAGAATATTCCGTGTGGCATCGGTTGTACCATTATTGGCGACTTTATTGCTTGCGCCGGCAAAACGGAAAAGTACCAAAAAATGTTTTAAAAGTCAGTAAAATGACTAATAAATAATTGAGAAAACATTCTAAAGTCACAGCTGCTTTAGCATTGAGTTTCTAAATATTTTGAAGTTTTCCCGTTGTGTTTGGATATTTTTTCTGGCCAGTGTGTTTTTGTCTTAGTTTAAGATGACAACCATTTTGGAAACATTGCTTTTTACACCGTTCTTCGCATCATAAAAATCGCAAAAAAATATCAAGGGGCACCCTATCGTAAACTTTTACCATGGGTTTTTCATCTCCTCCTAATATCAATTTTAGAGGACTATTTTAGAAATACTGTACACAACACATGCAACAAAAATAAACATGTAGATAATCAGAAGTTTAAAGTACAGCACAGATTAAATTTTCTAATCTGATAAACTTAATAACATATTTAAAACAAAATTTCTACAATTGTGTGACTGTTGTTAACCATTAAAAATACAAATGATACTGCTCAAAGGTTAGAACATCAAAATTAATAAAAGAACAAAAATATACACTTAATTTTAAACAGTATGAACAGCACACAATGAAATGCGAACAAGAAATATTCAGATGAAAATTATAAGCGAAAACTACAATGACACGCTAAAATAAATACCAGTTGTCTGTACTGAGTTAAAATATACATCTTTCCTTCTTTCAGAACCTTATTTATTTCTTTAATAAAACCATTAATAATTAAGTTATAAAATAAAATGTTACACAGAAATTTCTTTAAAAAAAAACAAATACAAAGTACCATTGTGTGATATTATTTTCGCACTGTCTCACACCCTAAAAAATAAACAAACAAAATTAATTAATACAATGCAAAGAAAAGATAAACAGAAACAACAGGGTAAAGAAATTTTTATTCCATGATATTTTAAAACATAATAAAAACACATTTACGAAATCTGCATAAACACTTTAAGAAGGAAAACATACTCCTTCGCGCACTTCACGTAGCCTCTCAACTTGCTCAGAATCCATATATACAAAATTACAGCTTGCTAAACGAGCTGCAAAACAACACGATACCTCATCGGCGAAAACTACGAAAATTAAACATTAGCACAGTTGCAAAATAAATGCTCTGTTGCCAAACCTGTACATCTAATAGTAACGAAATCAGATATTCTCACACACATACAGATCGTATTTTATTCTTGAGTGTCAAGAATTTTCACTGAGGACGCGCTACGATCACTAACGATGTAGAGCTACTACAGATAAGTAGCCTTAGAACGATGGAGGCAGCATATTAGCAGAGCTACGAAATTTTTAAATATGTGTTTCAGTAAATTCTCACCACCCTAAGTACGTTTTTTTCGCTTTTCCTCTGCAATGTCTCGTCCATCAGACTGAAAGTTTTTCCAGTCTTCTGAGGGCCAATATTTTTTTCTCCTATTTAGTCAGGGTCTTATTTTTATTCCTCTTTTTTAACCCATTTTTTCACCTGGTTTTAAAAACATTTCTTATCGAATGTTACGAAATTATTTTTCTCTCAACGAAATTGCCCTCTTATCTAATTGCCCTTACTTTGCACCTAAGCTTGATTTTTCCACCTGCGGGCAGAAAGACTTAGTGGTGTAAACAAGACATATGTCTACTTTGTCTGTCTGAAATTTTGACTTTGTCTGGATTAAGGCCTTGAATTGGCGTAAAAACATGTTAGGGAATCTGAAAGGATATAAGTATAAAAACTGAGATAAGTATAAAAATGTTCTGTGAAAAAACTATGACACGTTGTATTCAACTAGCAATATTATAAAGTTAACAAATTAAGAATATTTGCAAATTTAAACGAGTTGTGGCGTCCTGGAAGGTAAAAGTTTACATCAGGGTGCCCCTTGATTTTTTTTTGGTCATTCTTTTTGGACGCCAAGATCGGCGCCAGGAGGGCACAATTTCAAAATGGCCTCTGGCCACTACATAAAACCAAAATAAGAAGTCAAAGAACTGCACAAATTCTCTACCCATATACACATCGATCTATTTCCGCTTTAAAAAAAAACAGAGAATTGCACAAACTAGGCAATGCACACTGCCTTTGTCCATGTGCACATCGATCTATTTTCACTTAAAAAAAATCAGGAAACTAAAACAAAGTTAAAACGGTAACCAGAAATGGGGATTTCATCACCAAAACTAAACAAAATTTGTTGCTAATCGAAGGGGCACCCAATTCTACACTAGAGCCTAATGGAGTATAAATTACAGGTTTTTTACTAAAGATGGACCACCCGCTCCGGAACTGATTCACTTTACTGAGCGAGTAATCTCTAATCCAGCGAAAACGGAGGGCTAGTTCCTTAGCAGTTTACAAAGAGACCTTGCCAGGAAACGTGGCAAGAATCTGATTCTTCTGATTCTGTGATAGAATCTTGATCTATTGAGAATTTGATTCTTCTCAATAGATCGCAGTATTGTTGCTGCTCTACTACTGATGTGTTTTATTGATTCCATCGATCACATGCCTTGTCCCACTCTTTCTGCTGCTGCTCCTACATTTATTTGCACAGTGACCAGACAGTGACAGCGAAAGAGCCCTTTATCTTTTTAAAGTTTTTGCCTCTCTGAAAATGGCATTCTTTTTAGTTTTAGCTGTCGTTGATGGTCGTTCGTGAACACTTTTAATAGATTTAATTCCACAGGTCACATCATTCTTCAAACCACAACATTCTACAAACCAAATCAAACTGTCTACATTTTGGGTCTGGACCATGGTCAGCATTTGCACTTCTTTGATAGACTCTTAAAAAATCTTCAGGCAAGCAAGATTCAACTAAAGGATGAAGAAGTGCAACATTTTTATCTGGTGTGACACCAAGGGTTTCCAAACCCCGAATTTGTTATTCCAAATTATCGTACAATGCACATAAGTTACTGGAAGAATTACTAGAATTTGCACTTCTCAGGATCAATTTTAACAATTCTCTCACATAAACTTCCACTTGCAAGTCATTTCGACCAAAACGAGCCTTCAAATATTCTATGGTCTTGGGATAATTAGCAGCTGTAGGGAAAAACGTTCTATAACCTTCCTTGCACGCGAACAATCAACAGCCGCTTGTAATAAATATTGAAATTTATCACTATCAGAAATCGTAATATCTTTGTCAATTTTTTCAGACTGATTCCAAAAGAATAACCATTCCTTAATTTCAACATCAAATAATTCAAGCTTTGGAAGTTTAAATGTACATTCACATACATTCTCATTAACAGACTCAATATTTGAATATATTTTTCTTTTTCTTATATTTTACTTAAAAAATGTTTTATCATTGTTTTGTTTTTAAAATTTATGAAAAAATAATAAAAAAATAAGATAAACGTGTTTTTATATAATAATTTTAAAGCTTTTCAGTTCGAAAGTCAAATTTTGAATATTATAAAAGAGTATTTCATGTATAATTTACAACACTTTATAAGTGTGCAACAGAACCTCATAAAGGGGTGCCAAATTTCAATTTGAAGAAGCACGCCTAATACCCACGCGTATTAGGCGATTAATTAATTAATCGCCTAATTTTATTAATTAATTTTGAAGTACTTACATTTAAAATTGATTAAATTTGAAGTACTTACATTTTGTAGATTATGAAGAATACCTTTCACTTTAGTTTTGATTCTGACGGCCTTGTCACAATAATCTTCAATAGCATCAAATTCTGCTTCAATTTCGTTTTCAGTCAGTGTGCTAAGATAACGTACATGTGTATCTCCCAAACGCTGAACTTTCGAAACAAAAACATTAAGCTCCGCCTGCAATTCAGACGAATTTATCTCACTTTTCTTTAAAATTTCCTCTAAAACGTTGAAGGATTTTTGTAAAAGCAGCTCTATGAATCTTGCTTTCAAGCTTCATAACTTCTTTACCTTCCATTTTATACTTTAGACTTCAAAAACTAACGTCTCTTGTGTCCCACCAAGGGCACCAATAAAATGTTCGCTTATGAATAAACTATTACGCTACCAGCGTATCACGGACTCTAAGTGACTACTAAAAATATTCTAAAATATTCAGTTATTAACATAAGTAAATCATCTTTTCATCGCTCCTTCTCTAGTCGCGGATCTGATTCCTACGGAGTCAGATTATTCGCTCTTTTCATGGCAACAGCTCTAGCTGCAAATCTGGTTCCTGCGAAGTATTGATTATTTGCTATTTTTGCTCCCTCGGAGCTCTTCCTTTGTGTTTTATTTCGATTCTTTGAATACTGTGTCACAGTATTACTATGTATATTAGGTGTTAACCTTTTCATACAATATTATTGTAACATTTATTAAGATAATAAGTTATATTTTTATTTATTTGCTGGTTTCACTACCGTCTTGTAATCAAGAGCTGTGAATTTTTCTTTAATCTTCTTTAGAATTAGTATATGTTTATAAACATAAATTTTTCCATCCACATGTATTTTTAAGGTTGTAGAACAAACTGTGAACCCTACCGCACAGAAAAACCTCGAGCAATATTTGGCATCATTTTGTCAGTTCAGATTAAAAAAGAGGGGATGACGGTATTGTGAACAGACAATTTCCTGTTCTGTGGGATCTGAATTCAATCTAAACAATTATTTTTACACTGTGCTTTGTAGCAACAAAATGTCAATTATAGTACTAAAATAATCTTTAACAAAAGTGAGTTCAATTTTCACTATTTTTTAACATTTTCTTATTCCAGAATTTTATTGTTCTTCTAAGTGAATATCAAAAGCAATCCCACGCTTCGTTCGATTCTTTTTGGTTTTTCGCCATCTTTGCACTCCCCTCTTGATCAAGGCCAACCGCGCCTACTCTAAGTGCATTCATAAAGGTAATTGTTAGTGAGCGGTGAATCAGGGCCACCGCGTGGGTATTAGGCGTGCTTCTTCAAATTGAAATTTGGCACCCCTTTATGAGGTTCTGTTGCACACTTATAAAGTGTTGTAAATTTTACATGAAATACTCTTTTATAACATTCAAAATTTGACTTTCGAACTGAAAAGCTTTAAAATTATTATATAAAAACACGTTTATCTTATTTTTTTATTATTTTTTCATAAATTTTAAAAACAAAACAATGATAAAACATTTTTTAAGTAAAATATAAAAAAAAGAAAAATATATTCAAATATTGATACTCCTAGCTTTAGCAGCTACAAACCGCGCGTATCAATTCCTTTATATTCAATTTATCCAAAATTTCGCTCTCTATGGATATAATTGATAAGTCCGATAATCTCTCCTGCGCCATGATAGATCGCATGTAGTTTTTTATAATTTCAAGTTTTGAGAAACTTCGTCCTCTAATAGCCACCTAAACTGGCAGGGTTAAAGAAATCCGAAAAGCTATTGCACACACACACACACACACACACACAGATCGTATTTTATTCTCGAGGTAAGATGTAAAACTTCTCGCTTTGAGAGCGGAGGGGGAAAGGGAAAGGGTGGTGTTCTGAAAACTCCGCACTCGCGCGAAAAGGCGGGGTCAGTTAGGTTTAAGAAGCGTAGGATCTTAATTTAACGTTTATTTTATTTTAAATCTTTACTATCACTTCTTATTTTCTACTTCCGGCCAGAATTATAAGCGTTAACGTATTTATGCAAAGTTTGTCTGGCGAACGCCAAGTATTTAAGTTGTGGCTTTTTGCCAAGCGAGAGAGAGGAAGCAGTTAGTCGAAGCAGGCCGCTTACCTTAGAAGTTTTACTCAGTTGCTGGTTGCCTTCCAGGCCAGAGGTTTAATCCTCTTGATAATTTTAAACGTATTGTAGTGTTCACAGTTCTCTGTACTACATACGGCTTCCTGTTAATATAAGGCCAATCTTCCACGTTTATTATTTTAAAGTTAAATTAGAGTTTAGTTTTATTTTTATATTTTTACGTTTAGACCACAAGTAGTGGGTCTTTGTATTCCGAAGTACGGAAGTTATTGTAAATAGAGAAAAATAAAGGGTTTTGTATACCCTTCTTGTGTATCCTGTCTACTTCCCACAGTTATTGAACATAGCTTTAGTAAGCTCTCTGTTCCGAGTCAGGTCCTTGCATGTTCCCGAAGAAAGTAAGACGGAACATTGAACCTGATAGTGGCGCCCAACGAAGAAGAATAACCATGGCCGAGTTTCAAGAAGAACCTGTGCTGCCTGCAGAAGCGGCTCAGAATCCAGAAATGCCAGCTGCCGCCCTGGAAGGATTTGGTTACAT